GATGCGGGCGGTCGGGTTTAAAGCGGCGTCCAAATCGAAGGCGTAGTCGGAGCCTTTAGTTCAGAAAGAGAAGCTTGGGATTGTTACCTGTTGAAAAGAGGAAGGTTGCTGGGCAATTGATGGTAAAATGAAAAAAGAATATATTCAGTTCTTTAGTTCACAAACTCTAAATGCTACTCTAAGCCTACCGGATTCTGCCTATACGTTAGTAATCGCCACTTCGCGCATTACTACTAGTATGGGGCAGATTATGCCCTATACCACATATTGCGGCATAAGGACGCATCGATGAATTGTCACTTTTGACGCAAGAATAATAGGAGCTGAAGTCAACTTGAATGCATATCAATGGATCTACCGCTCGATTATGACTGAGTCGATTTGATCAAGATGGCTTCGTTTCTCCTTTGCGTCAAGTTTTTCCCACATGTGACACGTGCGCATACATACACCAGCAATGATTGCGAGGAAGATTGAGTTTAGATTGAGCTGCGGAAAAGGGAAGCAAAGCGGTGGGAGAGAGCACCCCAATGCTGACGCAGAGAGAGATACTCCAGCTGCTCGACAGCGTGAGTGATGACAGAAAATCATGCGACGAAGCAACTATTGATGAACATTGAAGTCAAATGTACCGAGCATACGATGACACAATCTTTTTTTTGCGGGACTTCCTCGGATTACTAAAATAGATACTGGGCCTAGCCGTTGCTGACGGAAGCGCTGAAATTTCGGATTTTTGACTGCGTGTCAACCGCAAAATAAGCATCCTGCCTTAAAATTACATCCTTGCGCTAGAGTACCCTTGTTTATAACATTGTAGGAATGCAGAAAATAGTCGTTACAATTAAGCACTTTTTTATGCTGGGCAATGTTGTACACCAATCGAAGATGAAGTGCACTTTCTCTCTCCCACAAACGCAAAACGCGTAACGAACAGGCGACTGATCCTGCGCAGCCTCAAATCTCTAGCCGCAATTGGCCGGATGTTTTCTAAATCTGTTGTCAAAGGTCATTTCCTATACCATAGGGAGCAGGGTTCTGGGTAAAAACGCAAGTGCGAAGTACGCAGCTGATCACAAAGCAGTTCTACAATTCCAGATGTTATGCCTTATACTAAGTGAGCTCTGAAGTATGCGTGCACAAGTTGTACTTATGATCGTATGCGTGTGCCATCTGTTGGGGCAGACTTTACTAATCGTCCATTAATTTCATCGGAGATGCGACGCAACTCTGACTACACACGGATCCAGAGTCATGTGAAGATATAGAGCATTCAACCAAGCGGATGATGATCACCCTGCCCATGCCAACTGTACTGTCAACAAATTCCATGGCTGGTCTGTAGGAAAGAAGCAGCGAGCTAACGACGCAGATGCAATCTCTCCACTACCTCATTTTCAAACACACTCTCGCCCTCAAGTGTCTGCAACCACTCCGAGGATATGCTGTCTCATGCTCTACCAGCACGCATCGTCATCTCTCTGGTGTTTGCTCTCGCGTCGCTGCAATGCTGTCTCACCCATGCTGCTTCTGTGGTCACTGGTGCACCGCGCGGATTTGCTTACGGCACAACGGGAGGAGGCAATGCTGCACCTGTGTATCCGACCAGCATCAGGGATCTCAAAGCCTTCCTGAGTGATGAGCAGCCGCGAGTTATTGTTCTCAAACAAGCGTTCAACTTTGTCAAGACCGAGGGGTCCACGACAGAGGAGGGTTGCCGCCCGATGCACAACCTCAACTGTATTGCGAAGAAGAGCGGCTTCCGGGGGCAAGACGCCATTCAGCCAAGCTTTAGCAAGTGTGATGGCTCAAAAGTGAGCGTCACGTACGACAACGCAGCTACCACCCCACTTCTTGTTGGTAGCAACAAGACGCTAGTGGGCGATGGCATGAAAGGTGTGCTGAACGGCAAGGGTCTCATCATTAGTGGCAGCAATGTCATCGTTCAGAATATCCACATTACGAACTTGAACCCGCACGTCATATGGGGCGGTGATGCCATCACTATCCGAGGAGCCTCAACGGATGTCGCTCCGAAGGGTATTTGGCTCGACCACATCAAGGTGTCAAACATCGGACGTCAGATGATCGTGATAAACTTTTCCGGCGCGACAGGTGTCACGATCAGCAACTCCGACTTTGATGGTCGCACCAAGTACTCTACGTCTTGTGACGGGCGGCACTACTGGGGCTTCTTGTTTCTGGGTAAACACACGGAGATGAGTCTGTTGGGAAACTATCTGCATCAGATTTCAGGGCGCTCACCGAAGGTCGGAGGCAGCAAAACAGATGCTGTTTTCCTTCATGCCGCCAACAACTACTTCGAAGACAACTCAGACCACGCCTTCGATACAACTACGGGTGCATCCGTCCTAGCGGAAGGCAACTACTTTGACTCTGTCAAAACACCGATTGCACATAGCACAAAAGGAAGCTTTTTGGCGCCGAATGCCGGTGTCGACTGTCAGGCTGAACTCGGCCGCAGTTGCGTGCCGAACGTGCTTACAAAAAGCGGGACGCTCTCCAGCATTTCAGGAGACACCGTGTTGACGAAGATCAGCAACTTGAAGACGCAGATCCGTGCGATTAAGGTGCGCACAGCGGGGAAGCTTGCAGTTGCGACTGGTACTTTTGGTGTTGGTGCTTACGACGACGGTAGTGTCAATCAGACGAGTACCATCCAGGAGCCAGTGGCGTTGTAGACAGTAACGACGCCGGCTGCCATGGAGGCTTCGGGGATATATGTGTGCAAGTTTTTTTCAGTACCGTCCTGTTGGTGTAGTTTAGACATCAGCGCTTGAACACCAAACGACAACTTTATTTTGAACATTGCGTTGTTTGACTACTTTACGCACCTTGACATACTCTTTTTCGGCGGTGGTATGGACGGACAAAGACAGCCTTCTCGCCCATCAATACCGCTTGCGAATCAGCTTATCGTTTTGTCCAGCAAAGTTAGAGGGCGCATTACTGACTATTTCTTTTGCTTAGTAAGTTACCTGTAATCACATGCGTCATCTTAAGCCATAAGAGCAGCCTCGTGGTAATAAGACACCGGACTCGCTAACACAGCCTTGCGATTTTATTTGCAGCTATCCGCAAATGTTGGGCACATGCTTGTCGGACCGATGTAGTGCAAAGTTCGGCAATTACGTTATAATCATAAGGTATCAGGAAAGTTGCCAAGGAGCTTCCAAGTAAACGTCAGTACGGTCGTGGAAAGCAAAGTAATGCATGATGACAAAACTACTTTCACAGATGCTCCAGATTGATGGTCGCAGTGAAAGTGTAATATGGTGGATACTGTGATTCGGATGCACCCAGTTTATGTCATCCAGTACCTTCTTGGAGGTACTGTATAACCTAAAGTATGTCGTCGGCAACGCGTCGCGCATAGCGTAGCAGACTTTTCTCAGCGCCGCGTGAGCATATGTATGCTCGCTTTGGGGCATAGAACTTACCGAGATGACGTGCACTCAGTCTGGCAAAGACTCCTTTCCGAGAAGTCAGAATAGTAGACTCATCTGAAGCATTACAATCGGATCATGCAAGAGTAAATATAAGCTTAAGCAAATCGACTTTGGTCAGCAGTGTTTACGATCCAAAGAACAGTTTGATCACTTTTGTGCAAGAATGCACACAACCTTATTGCATGGCACTTCAAGCATTGTCAATTTACGTGCGCAGCACCCAATACTTTATAGGTGACATACGAATGTGTTTGAAGAGCAATGTGTCACCTCAAGACAAGAAGAAGGATCAATGTGATCTATGAGGTGGCAGTGTCATGTCATTCCCTCCCCAAGCACGTGTGTCCATTTGTACAATATACCCAAGGTTGTCCAGTTCATCGACAAAAGGGCTTGGCAAAGATGGTGAAACTGCTTCGCCTGTGTCGCCTACCAGTATACAATAGGATTTGTGCTAGCAGTGATGACAACGTACCCCAGATAGTGACTGCTTCTACGACACGTACATGTTTCAGTCAGCTCGGAGGCAAGAATCATACACGATGATTGTGGCAGATTCTTCTGATGATTTATTTTTTGGCAGGTGAGGTGTATTGAGGTACGATTGCCGACCTAGAATACCCGATTAATGGCAGCCTACAAAATTGGTTGCCTTAGCTTGAGTTAGAAACTTGTTATGCTCTGCACGGCAAGGTTCGTCTGTTGGGACAGGTGGGAATGGTATCCTGAAAGCGCGAGTCAGAGAGTTTCGGGCTGTACCGTGTTCTCCTGCACGAAGCGTAGTTTTTTTTACCAGAAGGTGACGTCCTGATGGAGACCGTCATGTGCCGAGCAGCAGAGACTACTCGAATCGGAGTTGAACCAATAAATCGATTTTCCAGTGTCCATGGCAACTGTCGCTGCTGTGGTTGCCATTTGATTGTAATCGCGACAGTGGTGAGCCCAACTAACAACATCAACGTCGGATGAGATTGAACTTGCCTCTCGATATAGTGCCAAGAACTGGGGCCTTATCGGGGATTGGCGCATCCGAAGCTGGGTGATCACCATTTCATCGGCACCGACGATGTGAAAAGAAACCAAACCGCCTTTTTTTGTGCACCGGGGGCCACAAATGAGACATGTGTACGCTGTTTCAACGGTCGTCAGGTGAGGCGCGCCGATCACTAGCTAGCAACCCATCGTATTTCCGCCGCACGCGTTAGGACATGCACACGAGTGATAACAGAACCAGCGCCACCCGGTCCCATATTACCACGGATTCAACGGCGAAAAAGAGCAAAGAAAGAAAGCTGGAAGCCCTATCTGCAGGTACATTGCGAAAAGGCGAAGGCGCGATCCGGTGCAAAAGAGAGTCTGTTAGTGCAGCTCGTACACAATCCTGGGTATTCTCAGCATCGTCCGCATGGTGGGGGGCAGTCGAGCGTCGGAAGTGCGCAAGAGCACTTCTTAAAGAGGACACGGTGCGGGCTTGTTGGTCTTAGGACAGTAAAGTCGGGTTCTGCATCTGAAATAGGCGTTCGACGCAGATTAAGTGGGTGGTCGACGCCACCACAAAGCGCCACAACTCGTTTGCGGCTGCAACGACACTCGCTTGGACCACTTCGGTTGACTCGTTCGCAGTAAGCCACGCTTTAGCAGCCGGTCAAGCTGCCCGTAAACAGGCTGGCAGCCGAAAAGCAAAAACCCAGACATGAATGTCAGCTTCCTCAAATTCACCAAAACACTTCCATATTTCCAGTAATTCACGCCAACGAACTTGCGCTGCAGGACAGTTCCAGAATCCATGGCTGAGATTGTTGCAGATTATCAGTCATGCCTGATCATAATGAAGATCTGTCTACAAGTATAATTCAGTTATGAACGACGTTCTACACCTGTAATAATATAACTTGTGGACGCATATGATTCAGCATTTGCGATGGTGTGTGCAGTAGAATAATAGGGGCGACAAGTGTTGGCCCGAATTTGCAAAGCAGCAATATTTGACAGTAAAATTCTTGCGGTCTATATACCAGAGTGGCACCGGAATTGAATGGCAACGGTGTCTTGTAATGAACATCCTTACATCTCGATTACGGACATCGTTGTGCCATCTCGAGCCATATCAATGCACGCATCGACATCGTTGATTGGCACACTTATTGGATTCATCTGACATCAGTAATAATTTGGATAATGCATTGCTCTCAGCAACTCGATCTCTAGAACATGATAACGAGACAACAACACATCAAAGCTTGTTGGTGACGGTGTAACGGGGTGAATCGTTACATAACAATTTATAAGAAATTGTTAATAGAATATAACTATAAGAGTTATATTCTCAGGATATTGTCATAAGGACAAATATTCTGTAGCACTTACGAGTAGTTCCTAATTGGTTGATATAGGCCATTATATCAACCAACGAAGACGCGCCACGACAGACGCACGCAATGAGTGGTGAGCAGATAGTTGATATGCACATTAGTATTTAGACATAGTTAGATGAAGATAAATAGTGATTTATTGCAGACATTAACTATTATAAATACAGTTCTACCTTTTACTTAAATCCAAGTACTCGCTTCTTCTTACCGTCTTCCTCTGCACGTACGAGTGTACGTGAAGTTACGAGGCACCGCCTTATTCTGTCATCAGAATAAGTAGCTTGTACTGTCACCAGTACAAGCTTCAGGGTGCCCCGTTACACCTGGTAGCACTTCGTAGTCCGTCCAAGGACCGCGTTCACATCCAACATGAATATGTTGGATGATGAAGATGACCAAAGCTTTCACGCTACGCGTGACGGCTACTCCCATTTGAGCGATGTTGAATGGGATGCGGTTAAACGGATGGGTTCAACCATGGGCATCCATGCTGTTAGCGTCATGCTAGAGGCTCTCAATAGAGATGCCCAACATGCTACTATCGCCAAGTTCATTCAAAATGAACTTGACGATGAACGCAAGAAAGTAGCCTTGCTTCACCAACAAGGTTCTCAACAAGCAGAGTTGTTGAGAGAACAGGGTGCTCAACAGTTTGAACTGTTGAGACAGCAGCAGGCTGCTGCTGGCGGGTCGATGCACTCGCGTCGACCCGAGACTTTGAAGATTGACATCTCAAAGTATAGGGGGGGTCGAAGAAGACTCCCTCTTGAGATGGTTCGTCGAATTGGATGACGCCATAAGGGCGCGTCGCATCGACGACGGGGATATGCAAGTTGCATTTGCCCAGTCAAATCTGGCAGGACGTGCCAAGACTTGGGCACTGGGGCTCAAGTTGCACAACCCATATGCGTTTGGGTCGTTGGAAGGCTTCAAGTCGCGGCTCAGACAAACGTTTGAACTGCCTAGAGCTGAGTTCAGAGCTCGAACTGAACTCTTGAAGCTCAAGCAGGGTAAGCGTGATGTGCACGCTTACGCTCAACATATACGACATCTCACGAATTGTATAAGTTCCAATCCGGTGGATGAACACACGTTGGTTTCGGTGTTCATGCAGGGTCTCGCGGATGGTCCCGTCAAGACTCACCTGTTCCGGCTTGAACTAGATTCACTAGAACAAGCCATTTCCATTGCGGAACAGGAAGACTTCAGTCTGAGACAGGCTCGCGCCAGCTCGACATCATATCGTCAACCGAGACGATATGACAGCGGAGGTCCAGAGCCGATGGAACTTTGTTATGTAGAGAGCGAGAAGGCTCGCTCTACAGACTACAAGAAGTTGCATAGATGCAACAGATGTCAAAAGACAGGACACTACGCGTACGAGTGTAGTGCCCGTCGTCCAGTGTCTCGCAACACTGGGCGTAGTGACCGTTCACCCATGAGAAAGGGGCAGGGACGAGGGTCCGCTGTTGGTGCAAAGACGCAACAACGGGATGGACCGTCAACAAACGGACAGGATCAGTAGGTGCGGAGCACCCTACTGGTTCAGCAACGTCAAGAGAATTTGTAGGCCTCTTGACGAAGGTTGCTCCCAACACACAAACGTTGTGCGTTGCTGATCTAGGTAATGAGATCTTACTCATTAACTTGAAACTCGAAGTGAAAAATCAGTTGTCCCTTCGAGCTCTAGTCGATTGTAAGGCGTCCAACAATTTTGTGCGACGCCAATCGCTAGAAGATGGCCACTTTAAGTTCAGTGAATGTGACACACCTCCTACGAGAATGACGGTACGTCTTGCGACAGGCGCATCCGTAACCGTCATGAAGCGTATAGTGAAGATCCACTTTACGCTAGAAGATACCCAATATGACGATGACTTTATCGTATTGGATTTGGATGACAAATTTGATGTCATCCTTGGAATACCGTGGCTCAGAAGGTACGAACCACGGGTAAACTGGCAACATCGGACAGTAACGATGCCTGCCGCTTGTTCATCAGATGGCCATCTGATGAACGTTTTGGAGCGTCCACAAGCGTGCGGATGTACTACGGGTGAGTGCGATGGCCTCACTTGTGGTACGGTCGTTAGTACGACTGCACAAAACCTTAGTGTACCAAACGGTTACACTTCGGAGCAAAGTTCCGGTGGCTGTGAGGAAACACAGGCTGCGCCGAAGGTCCACCACTCGAATAAGTCGAGTGGACCGGGACAAAGATGTATCCCTAGCGGGGAACATCTAGAAGAGAAACAATCGATCGCTCAGGTTAAGCGATACGATAATCCTAGATCGACTGGAGGGTCTTTCGTAGAGGATCTCGCTGTGGTTGCGTAACCCCAGCTAGAGGAAGTTAAGGGAATAAGCCCCGATATTACAAATACAGCGGAAATAAGTTCCCCGAAACCCGCGGGAATAAGTCCCCGGGAAGCCGAAGGAATAAGTCGTTCGAAGCCTGAGGGAATAAGTCCCCAGGAAATGACAGAGACATTGAATGTCATAGTCAATAACGGATCAAGTGTAGGCGCTTATACACTTGATCTGATTGCGCCTCCGAAGTTGACTTCGGAGATCACTCAGTTGCCAACGCTCGAACATAAAAGGTTCTTGCGTGATCTGCGTAGTGGCAAAGTCAAGCAGATCTGCGTAGTTGTCGCTGACGACGAGTGTGTAACCGACATAAGGTCAGCAATAGTGTTCACTGAGAACGAGAGAGTTCTCAGTAGTTCATCTATGGACGAGAGTGCCCTGGATGAAAAGACACGAATTGAGCGATATGACTCCCAATCGTGGGAATCGCTCAAGACAAATCCTCTCTATGAAGATTTGGTTGAATTCAAGGATGTATTCCCTGAAAATGTTCCGTGCGAATTACCGAAGGATAAAGGTATTCGACACGAGGTCGAGCTTAAACCAGGCTCGAAGTACTGTGTCATGAAGCAGTGGCCACTGCCTCGTGAACAAGTACTTGCGATCGACAAGTTCTTTGCCGATCGTTTAGCTGCGGGCCATGTGAGGGAATCAACTTCCCCACATAGCTCTCCGACCTTCTGTGTGCGAAAAGCAACAGGAGGGTGGCGGATAGTGCATGCATTTAACAAATTGAACGCTGCAACGGTACCGGCTCAGACGCCGATACCGAGGAAGGACGTAATCATTGATGGTATGTCAAAGAGTACCATCTTTTCGTCCATGGATTTGATGGATGGCTTCTACCAAATCCTTATGCGAGAACAGGATATACCCTATACCGCAGAAGCACGCCTAGCGGCATGCTCTGGGAATGGCTAGTAATGCCACAAGGGCTCAGTAATGCCCCTGTCACGTTCAACAGATGTGTATCACATCTGTTATGACCAGTACGAGAATTCGCGCCGAGTTATTTCGATGACGTATTCATCCATAGTCGAGCTATGGATGGAAAGTCGGACGTTGAGGTTCACAGGTACCACGTCCGAAAAGTTCTTACAATCATGCGAAGGCATTAATTGCATGCTAACCTCAACAAGTGTATATTTGCAGCAAGCGAAATACCACTTCTTGGTTGCATCGTTGGTAAGAACGGTGTACGTCCTGATCCCGAAAAGATCAAGGCGATCGCCGACTGGCCTGTGCCGGTTGATGTCAAAGGTCTTCGAAAATTCCTTGGGCTAGCGGCGTATTTGCATAAGTATTCACGCAATCACGCCGAGATGACTGTGCACCTCTCTCGTTTGTTGAAAAAAGAACGAGAGGTGGTTATGGAACGCTGAATGTCAACGCTCCTTTGAGGGTATCAAGCAGAGCTTGATACAATCCCCAGTCCTAGCAATTGCCGATCAGAACAGGCCATTTCATGTGGTCTGTGATGCCAGCGATTTCGCAATCGGCTGTGCATTAATGCAGTACAACCTTGAAGGTGTTGAACGCGTCGTCTGCGATCAGTCGCGTCAGCTGCAACCAGCTGAGCAGAATTATCCAGTGCATGACAAGGAACTCCTTGCCATGAAGTATGCACTCGCGAAGTTCAGAGTCTATCTATTAGGAGATAGACCCTTCATTGTTTACACTGACCATGCGTCACTACGCACGGCAGTGAACAGCCCGCACCTTTCACAACGAATGGCGCCGTGGTTGTCATTCTTCGCAGAATACAACTTTACGGTCGAGTACAAACCAGGACGACTTAATGTCGTCGCTGATGCACTCTCACGTCGTCCCGACTTTGAAACAGTCGCGAAACCCAACAGTGAGACAGTCACTGTTGCGGTTATGACGTCCTCAGTCCCATCTACAACGTTGTATGATGATGTGAGGCGGGCATACGCCCAAGATGGTGAGATTGTGAAGTTGTTGACACATCTCTCCCAACCATCTCGAGAATCGTTGAAACGATTGTCGTCTGCGTATCGATCTGCATCAGATCGATACACTACTCCTAACGGTTTACTGTATTATACAGCCGTTTCTGGTGACACACCACGTGTTGTCATTCCAGATGATACTGATCTGCGTTTGCGGATCATGTTCGAGTATCACGATGCTCCTACAGGAGGACATCGTGGCCGGGAGAAAACATTTCTCACGGTGAGTCGAGACTGTAACTGGCCCCGCCAGTATCAGTTTGTGCGAATGTATGTTCGCGCATGCGAAGTCTGCCAACGAGTGAAGTCAAGTCCCTCACTGCGTGCACCTTTACAGCCTCTACCGGTTCCGGCTGAGTGCTGGGAATCCATCTCAATGGATTTCGTCTTCGGGTTACCCAAAGACGCACGCGGGAATACGGGTATTCTCGTATTTGTTGACAGATTCAGCAAAATGGTACACCTTGTGGCTGTACCAGAGACAATCACGGCAAGTGGCTGTGCTTGTGTCTTTATTGACACCATCTTCCGACTTCATGGGTTGCCCCGTGAACTCGTATCGGACAGAGATCCACGATACACTGCTGATTTCTGGCGTTCCGTGTTCAAATCACTCGGAACGCGCTTGAAGATGTCTACATCTGATCATCCAGAGTCAGATGGTCAGACGGAACGTGCCAATCGTGTCCTTGAAGAGATACTTCGAGGATACGTACACTCCTTTAAGAGTTGTAGTGAGTTTTTGCCAATGATAGAGTTTGCCATTAACAACTCGGTGCATGCGTCCACGACACATACACCGTTTTACGTGAATGGCTTACGCCATCCACGTGTACCCACCTTACTAGAGTGTAACTCTGGTTTAAGGGGGGGAGGGACTCGCGCGAGCAAAAACCGATTTGGTTCACGCTCATCACGCTCTGACGAAGAAGTCATTGCGTTTGATGCCGATATCGATAACATCGATATCGAAGAAGATGATGCCAGTGAGAGTGCGGAAGCCCTCACTGAAGAAAAGGTTGATGTTGCTGCAGTGCACTCACAGCGCACTGAAGCTAACGAGTCATCAGATGAGTTCATACTGGCTCGTGAAACGGTAGTCCGTTTTGTGCAAGACTCCATCGCCGAAGCGGTGGATAAGCAAAAGCAAAACGCTGACAAGAATGGAAGGGCAAACACTCTTTTATTTAATAAAGGTGACTTAGTCCTACTGTCTACGGTTAATCTACCAAAGCATGTAGTGACTAACTTGGGTAGCAGTAAACTACTACCCAAGTACATCGGCCCATTTCGTGTATTGCACCGCCTAGGCAATGCATACACTATCGAGTTACCACGTAAGATGCGAACGCATCCCACGTTTTACGTTGGTCGGCTTAAGCCGTACCATCAGTATCATCCTCATCTTCCTATGAAAAACGCCCTTGCGCTCAAGCATCTCGCAGAGAGCCTTGTGATCCCGATGGTGGGCATCGACAAGGGTCTGAAGAGCAGTTATCTCATCCCGAGACCGATCAGCAATCCCACGAGCTACCCTTAGCTCGTCACGAAGAGATGTCAGAGCTCTCTCGTTATCAAGCTGAGCAAAGTCAAACTCAGCTCGATGCTTCGAGACAGTGTCCGCCATTTGGAGACGCCTGTCCCGCTCATGTTCGAGATCGCTGCGTATCCCTTGCGTTACGCGATCAAAGAAGCTCTCGGGAACACACCGATCCCCATGATCGTGTGGAGAGCGTCTTTCCTCCTCCTCCACCTCCATTGGAGGACTCTCGCGGTGGCCAGCGCTATCTGGTTGAGCAGCTGTTGAACCACCGCGACGTGAACGGACGTCGGACGAGTTATCTCGTCCGGTGGCGCGGCTATCCCCCGTCCTGGGATACTTGGGAGCCCCGCTCCCAACTGATGATCGACGTACTGGGTCTGGTTGAGCAGTAAGACGCGGCACATCCTGTGCCGCAGAAGGACCGCCGGAGAAAGTCTTCCCGGCACGGTCGTAAAGGGACTTCAGGTTGTCAATCCCTTCGTACATCTCAGTAGAGAGACGTACGCGCCACCACGGGCTGGTAAGGAGGTAAGCCTCCTTAGGTGCTCGTGCAGAGTTGTTCACACAACATAGGCACGAGTCTCCCCATGAGAGGCAGGGTAATCCTTTCTCCCTTGACAGACGATGCAGCTTGTAGCGTGCACCTTTCGGGGTTCGCTTTTCAAACTTATCACGAGCTTTGATAAGTTTGTCGTTCCAAGCGTCACGACCTACATCCTCAAGGTTATGGATGTATGCGTTCCACGCCTGAAGCAGGGAGGGACCATCACGCTTGTGATTACCACTGTACCATCGATGCCTAAAGAAAGCATCGATGAAGAATTCATTCTCAGCGCGATAGTTTTTCGCGCTGGGGTCAAGGTGATGGATCCTTGACGAATCGAACAATCGTGTTCGATAACGATCACTCGTCGTCACCGACAAGTGATCCATGACGGATTTCGGAGGCATCCATGCCTTCTTTTCTGGAGCAAGACGCAACACATTGCGGTCCCGCTCTTCCTGCGACGTGCCGACAGAAGTACTGGCACCTCGCTGTGAAGTGGTGTCCATTGGAAAACCGACACCACTATCAGCGCCCGAGTCTCGCGACCTCGAGCGCCTTCGCTTCGGCGATGGTTCATCTGATTCATCAGATGAACCAAAGATGCTGCGACGCAAAGCATCGTCCATGCCACGCTTGGCAGGCGGCTTAGATTCAATCGCCGTCGATACGGATCCGTCTTCCGTATCAGGAGAGTACGAGACACCGAGCTCACACTCTGTGAAGACATGAGTGTCTTCGTGACGAGCGCCTGCATCACCAGATGACACAGGCTGAGTCGCTTCAGCAACCGATGAGACATTAGTTGCTGTAGTTTCTGCTTCGGCGTCCGCACAGAGACGTGCAGACGCGCTCTCGGCGGCCTTGCTCGCGCATCGCATGGGCTTGTTTACCATGCGATGAAATGTTGGAAAGTGGACGCGGACCAACAAGTGCAAAACCCGTCCCAAGTGATTTGGGACGAGATCCATTTAGTCAATCAGTCACTAAAGTGACTGATGGATGAGGGGGGGGGGTGATGCAACGGGGTGAATCGTTACATAACAATTTATAAGAAATTGTTAATAGAATATAACTATAAGAGTTATATTCTCAGGATATTGTCATAAGGACAAATATTCTGTAGCACTTACGAGTAGTTCCTAATTGGTTGATATAGGCCATTATATCAACCAACGAAGACGCGCCACGACAGACGCACGCAATGAGTGGTGAGCAGATAGTTGATATGCACATTAGTATTTAGACATAGTTAGATGAAGATAAATAGTGATTTATTGCAGACATTAACTATTATAAATACAGTTCTACGTTTTACTTAAACCAAGTACTCGCTTCTTCTTACCGTCTTCCTCTGCACGTACGAGTGTACGTGAAGTTACGAGGCACCCCCTTATTCTGTCATCAGAATAAGTAGCTTGTACTGTCACCAGTACAAGCTTCAGGGTGCCCCGATACAGACGGGGAATATTGATGCATGTCGTAATGGTCACATAAAATCGAGTAACTGAATTTTTTTTGCATCTGCATGTGCTGCAGCATATTCGGTTCCTCAGCGTCCAACAGCGACGAGCGCTGACTACTCTAGCCTTCTCGCAGACTACTGTCGGCCTATACGACAACTACCCAGACGCAAACACACGATGAGTGGACGTGTCCATTAAGAGTCAAGATGCGCAGCTGACCATAACATTGTGCGACGTCCGTATGAAAGAACGTCGAGGGTACGACTAGTTGAAGCTCGAGTTCGGCCTTCTGAGATCATGTTGATAAGAGACATGCGCTGACGCGCGTCCACCTCGATCACCAAGTCCGTTTCCGAGCGGAGATTACTAGTCGACCGGGATCGTTTATCGGAGCCACCCTTCCAAGATATCTTTGTTGGCCGCATGGCCATCGGCATGATCGTTCAATATTAGAACATGAAGATGAGCGGTTTATTGTGGATCAAGATATTACTTTCGACGGCTCACTTGAAACATTGGGTGCGTATATAGGTGTGATAGAAGAGGAAGTCTATAATTTAGCTCTCAGACTTTCTTATTCACGGTAAAAGACACGAGAATTTGTGGCAATAGCTAAGTAATATCACCAGGCAGTACTAAAAATGCATGTCTGGGTCGAGTGCTGGAGCTTGATAGTGCCTTGTCTCATCTGCTTAAACGTTCATCAATTTTACTACCAATTAGCCTGCACTTTGTTTTCCTTTCATTGTACGCTTGCTACAGCGTCGCGGACGTAAAGTGTGATGGCTAATCTTTCATCAACAAAACGTTGAGCTTCTCTAATATTTTTACCATTTCAGCTCGCCAATTACACCACCAACTTGTCGGTCATAGGTGTAAAGGGCACCGGTAGCTTGTTATGTGACGGCTGAAGCTAATTACACTGAGCACAGAGTGAGATGGTGCCACGATACTTCAAGCACACGCGTCGTGCAGAGAAAGGTTTCGACACGACAAAAGAGGTATGAGTAGAAGTGTATTCAGAATAGTTATCTCCTGTTGGTAAACCCATTTGGTCTTCATTTAACTTAATCTTTATACAAACATGTATTGTAACTATCTGCTCACCACTCATTGCGTTCTTCTGTCGTGGCTCGGCTTTATTGGTTAATATCGTTCATATTAATTAACCGATGAGCAGTAATTTACTTCTGCAACACAATAGTGTCTGTTGAGCCAGTCTCGTGAGAGCACAATTTTTATTCCAACAAAATGTTCACACTTGATATTTACCTTACGTAAACTATCATGTAACGGAGGCACCTCGTTACATTACCCCCCCTTTTTTAACCATCAGTCACATTAGTGACTGACAGATGAATGAGTGAATCCAAGAGTGAACCTAGGAAAATGTAGCACTTGTTGGCTATATTCAACCATTCCTATGATCTCCCGCATATTTTACAAGGCCATGCGGAGTGCAGCCAAATCTGCTGGGAGTGCAGTTATGAGGTTGTAATCCGCTCCGGAGGATGAGGCAAAGACCTTGAGCGCAGAAGATGACAACCTGCCTGTCGCTTCCTGGTGTAGACTCACGCGGTAATGCGCCGCGTGAAATTGAAGATAATCCCGATCCCATGTACTTTGGAGGGTCGGATGGCGACACCGACTTGACAATGGCTGCCGCAAAGACAGAGCCAATTGCGGAGACGACAGAGCCGAGCAAGTATCACCAGCCAAGCGCTATAAGCCTCGCTGAGCATTGTAAAATCTTCAAATTGTCCATCGATTCGGGCGCTACGTCTTCAAGGCGGAGCCGCTCGCTCGAGAATAATCAAGGCGAATTCAAGAGCCAGTTGAGCTAAAATGACGGTGACGCATTAATGCGTCACAATTAAGACGACCATGCTGGACGTGGTGTCAATACTAAAATTTACACCCCGCAGGTGGCCAGAGATCGCGACGTACTGCGCGTTGCTCTGGAGAAGAAGGCGTGACTGCTTCCCCAGCGAGTGTTTGATTGTTTTTGCATCACGGTAAGCGATTGTCATAGAGTCAGACGTTTTGACCCACCAATGCTTCATGGCCTTGAATCTG